TCAGAGATACTGTAAAAATTTTGTAATATGCAAAGAAATGCTCTCTAATATAAGAGATTATCTGCGAGTGGTTAATCGATTAGGATTAGAGGCGCCTACGTTCGTTATGGTTTCAATGAAAAACACTTTCGGTCTTTCGACCGTGCACTTTGAACAATCCATGTTAAAAATGAATGGAAAGTCGAAAGCATGCCTGACAGATGATATTGGGTAACTGAGTGAGAAATAGCATCTGTAGTTTCATTTGAATGACAGTGACATAAAAAATCAGTTGAAATGGTGTTGCTGGGGTTTGCATTTTGATGTCATCATTTTTTCTTGCAGTATGGTGACGTTTGTTCTGTTAATCAATCAATGATAAGCACTGCGGAAATTGTAAATTCAATTGGAAACCGAAAATTGTAATTTCGTTGATTTTCCACCCTTTGCATCCTCTCGTATGTGCAGTGTGCAGCATATGGTCCATTTAGATCAAAAATGATATCCTTGGCGGCATTACGACTGGTGCTGTTGCCCAATCAACAAAAACAGCTCCCCCCAAACGACACACTAGCCATAAAACTTGATGTAAAATTACGTACGTCTTTGGGCACTTGTAGTCACAGGCGATGGCTTCTTTCCAATCTTTTGGTGCACTCTGACACGCTGTTATACCAGCCTTACGTTTGCTGCGTACTTCTGAAATGCAAATGCAGTTACACTTTGCTGAAAAATGAACGTATATTAAGCAACCAACTATTCTGGCCGAATATCAGCTGACGAACTCCGTGAGAAGGGTTGTCATTCAAGGGGGGGGTGACAGGGAAACCATCACAGAAGAGGTGCTGGTTCCTGAGGTCATCGATGAAACCTTCTAAAGGACTATTACCCAGAAGCCCATTCAGCCTGAATGAATGGAAAACGGTAGTTCTGTCCAAGACACCATACAAGCGAGAATATTTGCTGAGATGGGAAGAAGCGGAATGCACAAACACAAATGGTCTTCAGTTTGCTGCGCGCAGCTCGAGTAAGACTATGGTGCACGACTGACGTATTACCGACGGACTTCATAGGTTGCGGATTGATACCGAAGAAGAAGCAACCTCATGACAGGAAGCTCAGCTCATATGAGACTATGAGATGAAAGAGAGATATGGAAGCTTGTGTCGACAAATCACACGAGACTGATGAGTGCGAACATTTAGACGAGGCACGTCAATTATAATGAAGTTAACCAAAAACGTAACCAATAATAATAGGCCAAATATGTATTCAGGCAGAACCATTAATTTTTTCTGAGGTAGAAGATACAAAGAAAGACAATTTTAGATTCCTGAAGAATAAGTTTGGACGCTTTCTTACAAAGGAAGATGATGCATTTCAGTAATGAACTAAGTACTTTTAGGAACTTCTTACCTTGGAGCAACGGCAGGGAGAGACGTTTGTTGAGCAGTGGATATTAATTATTCACTAATAGATGAAGTCAGAAAGTTATGTAGAAAGGTCAAAAAAGCAAGACTGTTCGAATCGATGAAATTCTCTTCTGATATGAGACACTCGTTGCCTGTACTCTTTAACAAGTCCTTGTCAAACTGAACGACTACGGGAAAAACACCTGCAGAAATAGAATTAGGTTTGTAGTCCATCTCTCGAAATGAGCGATCATAGGGAGTGCTCACATTATCAGAACATTACCTCATTAAGTTTCACGGGAGAAATATGCGCAAAAAATGTCGGAACGGAGATGCAGTGAAAAGGTTTACCGTGAGATCCAAAAAGATCAGTGTGACTTTCACTCAGGCTAAAGTACCTCTGGCCAAATCATCGATTAACTCAAAATTGTTAAGAACTCGTTTGAGTTCGTTCACCCGGTTACGGATTACAGAAACCTTATAGACCTGGGGAAAGCTGTTGATTGAATCCAGTGGGCGTGCCTGCAGACACATTTGCTCAATGGTCAGTTGTTGCAATCCGTGCAGTTACAGTATGTTAATAGAAGGTACTGCGTGAGAAAAAATGGCGTTAAACGAAGATCTGTCATCGTTAGCACTGGCCTATGCCAAGGATGCGTTTTGTCCCTCTCCTCATGTTGTCGTTTCGCTTAGTTTCAGGATTTGCTC